GTTTTCAAAGAGCAGCACCTCCCCGCTGAACATTTAGAAATATGAGTGTTTCTGCTGGTGCAATGCTTTGCAGCACTACTATCATGAGTGAGTGTCAAGAGCCATGAAGAGTCTGACTTTACCCTGCTTGCAAGCTAACAAGTTAGCTTGCTACAGTTTCATGGATGCTGATGGATGACATAAGACTTCTAGGTAAGAGATGAAAAATAGTTTGTTATTCACAGGAAGAGCAAGAGCTAGGATATCAGTATTTGTGCTAGTTCCCTGTGCTGAGTCGAAGTTCCCAAAGGGCAACATTGAAAGGGCCAGTTGATATCCATAATGGGTTGCCCTACAAGAGAGGAATCCTGAGCCTTGGGAACCCAAATCTTTTCTAATGATCAGTAGACATGTCTTTTGCTCTGAAGGGAAATATTTCTATATTCCAAGGCTGCTTGTATAAGCATGCTTTAAATATCAGTCTGCAACAAAGAGCTGTTAATGCCTTGCCCATAAGACATTTGGAAACACAAGAGACCCGTAGAGAATTGTTTCCCAACAGTGATCAGAGGCCAACTATTCTTCAAAGAGTGGTAAAGAATTATCTTGCCCAAAAATCTCAATAGTACTTTTTGTGCATAACATAAAAATTCTTTACCTTCTGAGCTTGTTTAAAAAAAGATTATTGCACATGGATTGAATGTGATACATGAAAGAAAGAGTAGCAGAGTCATGGCAGAGAAGCCCTGCTATTTACTGAGAAGACCGACTCTGCTGGAGGGGTGGGTTAAGGGGATGAGAAAGAAGAGCTCTATTTTGGACATGTTAAATGTGAAATACCAATTAGTTGGTTGGTAGAGATTGAAATTAATATAGTTCAAGTTCCTGACATAATAGGTCCTATCTAAAATGTTAGTTTCCTTAGCTTCCCTTTTGTGGTATTTGACATTTTTAACAATTCCCTCCTTCTAAAAATTCTGTTTCCTTAGCTTTGGCAATATCTTTCTCTTTTTATTCTGTAATCTTTGACACATTTTGTAGTTCCTCTTCTTGGACACTTTCCTTGCATATTGCCCTTTTCCAGTATTTCGTTTTTGAAACTCTTCTCAGGTTTAATATTTTGTTGTTTATCCTTCCAGTCTTTTCTGTGTGCGTGTGTATACACACACACACACACACGTAAAATAATGAGCTCTTCATTGTAGAGTTGTAATATTCTTGTTTAATTAACTATATATTTAGCATTTTTTTCATGTAATTACTTAGTTTTCTAAAACACCATTAAACAAATTCCATAATATCCCATTATTTGGGTATATCAGTTTATTCAGTTAATCCGTTATTACGTTTTTACATTCTTTTTTATTTGAAATAATGTCAAAGTTACAGAATAATTGCTAGAATAGTACACAGAACTTGGTTTTCCCCAAGCCATTTGAGAGTAAATTGCCTACATGATGCCCTATCACCCTGAATAATTCAGTGTGTGTTTCCAAAAATAACGGCATTTGCCTACATGACCACATAGAGCCTTTCAAACTAGAAAATTAACATTGAGGCCGTGCCACTGTTTCATCCACAGATCTCATTCAAGCTTCACTAGTTTTCTCAGTAAGGTCCTTCAGAGTAAAAGGATCCAGTTCTCAAGCACAAGTTGTACTTATCTGTCCTGTCTCTGGAATATTTTTCACTTTGGAACACGTCCTCAGTTTTTCCTTAATTTGGTGACTTAGACACATCTGAAACTTAAAGGCCAGTTATTTTGTAAATTGTTCCCCAACTTTGGTTTATATGATATTGAATCATGATTAGATATAGGTTTTTTCATGTTGGGTACAAATACCACAAAAGTATGCTTTGTTTGTGCTCCTCACTGCATCCTCTCAGACGTAACACAATTGCAATCTGTCCCACTATGGTGTGTTTGATTCCTTAAGTGGTGTCCACCAGGTTTCTTCACTCTAAAGTCACCATATTCCCTTTGTTATTAAAAAATATTTGGGGAGAGGTTGTTTGAGACTGTAAGAATATTCTGTTGCTTATTAAATTTTTACTCGCCAATTTTAGCATTTACTGATGTTTCTTGGCTGTTTTAATCATTACTGTGATTGTTATCAAATGGTGACTCTCTGATTCTCTTATTCCTTTTTACATTTATTGGTTGTCATTCTACCGTAAGGAAAAGCTTTTTATTCTTCAAAATTTTCAATCATTTTATATCAAATGGTTATAATCCTAACTATCATTATTTATTTTGATCCTTCAAAATTTCTCTGATTTGGTCAGTTGGGGAAAGAGCCCTTTCAATGGTGTCTGTGTTCATACGACCTCAAAATTCCTTTTTTTTTTTTTTTTTTTTTTTTTGTTGCTGTGCACTCTGTCTCCCAGGCTGGAGTACAGTGGTGTGATCACGGCTCATGAAGCCTCGACCTCCTGGGTTCAGGTGACTCTCCCTCCTCAGCCACCTGAGTAGCAGGGACTACGGGTGTGCACCACCACTCCTAGCTAATATTTGTTTTTGTTTTGTTTTGTTTTGTTTTTTGTAGAGTCAAGGTTTCACCATTTTTAACCAGGCTGGTATCGAACTGCTGGGCTCAAGCAATCCTTATGCTTCGGCCTCCCAAAGTGCTGGGATTATAGTTGTGAGCCTCTGTGCCTGGCCTAGCCTCAAAATTCTTTAAGAACTTTCTTACTTTCTGAATAGCAGGATGATTCAGACTTATCTTGTTCTTTCTTTGTACGCTGCTCTAGAACCAGCTATTTCTCCAGGAAACCCTGCTCTGTTTCCTCAGAATAGCACTTTGGAAATCGACATCTAGGTACTATGTGCTTATTGTTATTGGGATGTGCTCTCCCAGCCCACTCAGTGAGCAGAGCTGGGAAGATATGTATGTATACACACATGTACACATACATACTTTTACATCTGTATTTATCTATCGATTCATTCATCCATCCATGAGTTCACAACAATACTTCCAATACCACAAAGTTCATTCTAGTTTTTTCCCTTCTCCACAGTGAGAAAATATGGATCTTATCATCGTCAGTACACTTACTTATGGGATGATCAATTGAATATAAGCAATCTCCCATCACTGTTTCCACTACCCAACCCCTACCCCGACACTCCAATCACCCAGTCATGCTTCAATGCCCAGTTCCAGGCCACTGCTGCTCCCACCCTAACTACAGATGCCTACCTAGCCCAACTTGGCTCTGAAACTGTGCAGTAGCTGCCCAATCCACCCCTTCAGGCAGAAGCCCTTCACACCCTGCCAGGCTTCAATGCCTCGCACACAGCTGCTGCTGCCACCGTCACTGCCATTGTCCATACAGAGGCTCCCTGTGCCCTGCTTGGGCTCCACTACCTTGTACTAAAGTGCTTGAAAGCCCTCCACACACACATCAATGCCTGCCTTGCTTTACCTGACCTGTTGGCTTCTGACTACATTTAAGGCTGGGAGACAAGTAGGTAGGTAGGATGGCAGAAAGGATAGTCCTTTGTTTTTGAACATTTAGATGGTACCCCAATGGGAGCTCTTATAAACAGTTTTTCTGTTACAGATCATAGATTTTTAAAGATAAATCTGCTCTATAATTATTTACTTTCTTATCATCTTGAGACCCTGAATAAAATTAATAGTCTCAGTGCTTTCCCATGCAGCCTTCCACTTACCTATCAAAACCTTAGAAAAATACTACACTTATATTATATTGTTTGGGTGGAGGTAAGATGGGATTATTCCCTAGCTTGATTTCAGTAAATAATTCTATCAGGATCTTTTATGTAACCATTTACTCCTAGTTATTTTGCCTCTACAGGTTTTAACCTGTAGAAGCCCCAAATAATTACTTTTTGCCCTTCCATAACACCTAAACTCAATTGTGTCAATTCAATTTCTTTAATGTCAAAATAAATCACACTGATTATGAGATATCAAATTCACTAATATTGATTAATATTATTTAAGTGAACATTTGGGTAGTTTATCCTTAATTTTATATCTTAAGATTTTAAATGAAGCATTTGCTTATTTCCTGCTTTAACTCTTTTTATTGTGGTAGAGATGATTGTTCCTCTTTTTATTTGGTAGGGAGAATTCACCTCAGAAAAAAACATTCTGGAAATTACCATAGAAAGAACCTTGGTGTCAACCAAATCACTTCCCAATTTTTGTTAATTTTGTTTCTTACTAAGACATATGATGACATCACATTTGAACAAAATATTCTACTAGGAATTGAATTTCTTCTGGAATTTATGAAATGATAGATTTTTTGATGTTAGGCTACTTGTCTTATGCAAATTTCTGTTCACACAATTCTCCACCCTTCCTTGTAATTCATTGGTGCTAGCTAAGTGTGTGCTGTTGCTTTTACCTTTAAATTAATGACAACATAAGTTAAAATAACTGGTTCATTCTTATTTCAAAGTCATTTTGGATAAATCAGGTGTAAATAAATCTACACTCCTGACAGTCTGTTTCTCGGAACATGGATCTCAAGAGAGTGTGGGAGCTGGGGAAGAGGATTATGTGATAAAATAAATGGTAAAAATGCTGTTTCTAAGGTTCCCTCTTAAAAATTTACAAAGTGTATTAGCATAATACAGACTCTGGGAAGCCCTGAAGTAAAAACATCCTTGTTTTCTTAATCCAGTCTCCCAAACGTATTGACAATAGATGTGTGCGTGTTTATGTGCTAATAACCCTGTAACAATCCAAACAGCTGGATTTCACATGACACACTGACAAACACGGACTTTTATAAGTGAAACGATGTGGTTTACTGTTTGCAAATTGCTAACTAGAGTTAGTAGCTACCGAATGACGCGGGTAGATCCAATCTGAAAACAATCTCTCACAGCACAGGGAAGCTTTTCAAGTGCCTAGGTGAAAAATAGACAGTAATTTAAAGATCAAATGCAGACATTCTTCATTTAAAAATAGGACAGGAAAGGAAGGACAAACGTCCTGTTGTGACAGTTCTGGGCTTCATTCAGTGCTTTTCTTTTTCAGCTGGGCACCAAAGAAGGTTACCTCACCAAACAGGGAGGCCTGGTCAAGGTAAGGAAGTATGGTTTTGCTCATGCCAGCCACAGAAAAAGAGAACACGTCATGTAGATTCAATTCGCATCTTGATAGTTTTTCTTGGAAGCATAATTGCCTGCTCATTTTAACCCACTTATAATATTTACCTGACTCAAGAGTCCATTTTATGGCTCATTAGTCGAAATTCTGGAAAATGACTTGACTATTCTTCGACAAAGCCCTGCATAGGTATAGCCTATAGTTAAAAGTCAATAAAATATAGTCCTCTTAATGGAATGATTGAGGATGAAGATAGCAAGTTAACTCTAGAACATCTTTCGTTCTTTTTCTAAAACAAGAAGTCAAAATTGTATAAAATGTTTCCTTAAAGATAGGCCCAAAACATCACTGATGCTACTGAAACTATGTTATAAAATCCAAAGAAAAACATAATTTAGGTTTTTTCAAGTTCAGAGTATCCAAATGTTCCCCATTTATGAGATTGTACCTTTAGAATTCCTTTGTTTCATCTGGATGTGCCAAGAAGACCTTCATAGAATGTGCCTGCTCCTTCTTATTTTAAGAGTCATAGTATTTAACCTCTCACAGGTACTGGCGTGCTTGGACTTAGCCTAAATAATTTCGTTATTTGTGTCCCTTCTAGATCAAATGCTCCCTGAGGACAGAGAGTATTCATATTCATAGCGTACTTATGCTTAAATCCTCTGTTACTTCTTTTAACTGGGCACATTGCCACACAGGATAGAGTAGGATGCTGTTTGTATGTAAGACGGTAACAGCGGGCAGTGACGGTTTTTACCACTGATACCTTGGAGTTCTTAGGCAAGGTTTAGAATAGCACGTGAGTCAGGGTTCCTAAACCTCAGTTTTCTTATCTGTAAGACAAGAATAATAACACTGGCATTGTATGTGAGGATTGAGTATAATATATAAAGCCTCCAACGATAGTGTATCGTCCATATTAGGTACTCAAAGAACAATATTTATCTTTATTATAGGGTTAATAAAATGGAAATTGTAGTGGTTTGTTATGAATCACATGAATATTTATGATAGACTTAATTCTTTTTGTATTTAAAAATATACTAATGATATATCTGCTTTCATTTTTGTTATAAATCATATTGAATATTTATGATAGACTAATTCTTTTTGTATTTAAAAATATACTAATGATATATCTGCCTTCATTATGAGCTTAATGCAAGAAATTATTTTAATTTTTATAGATATTTTGAAACTTTTTTTTCTCAGAAATGACACACAAGAATTTTTTCAGGGTTATAGTATTTAATTTTTTAGATACTTTTAAAATGAAAGTAAATCATCTGGTTCAAATATTGCATTCCTGCATTCAAAACTTTGTGTGTGTGTGTGTTTCTGTGTGTGTGTGTTTCTCTCAGACCTGGAAAACAAGATGGTTTACTCTGCACAGGAATGAACTGAAATACTACAAAGACCAGATGGTGAGAAACGTGATAATATATTTTTCCTTTAAAAATCAATTTTCTAGATGAAAGAAACTTATGTCTTTAAAATCTCTGAAATTATTTTTATATCCACCTGAAACACCTAATAAATGATTGGAGATATGAATCTTGATTCCTGAAATGAACAGAGTTATTTTGCAAAGATGAGATGTGTATCCCAGAAATTGCTCTCTTGGATTGGCTATAGTTCCCCAGGGCACATAATTCCCTCTGTTTAGGGCAATGTAATTATTCTTTTGCCGCAATTTATTAACTGTCTCTCTGCAGCAATTTGTCCCTTTATTAAAAATACAGTCTGTCCATTTCCCATGCCCATTTCATTAAGCCAATTTAAAATTATTTTTTCTCACTTTTCTTATATAAAATTTCTAAGAAAGTAGAAGTTTTTAAAAAATGAGAGAAAAATATGCCTCTCTTCCATGTGTTAAAATCCATCTTCATCAGTAAATTGATAAAGACAGTGTCTTAACGTACAGTTTTATGAAAGGCTCATTCCAAAACCAAGGACTTCCCGTGCGTGGTAGGGCTTTTCTATTGTCAGTCCTGTTAGTGAAATTTGACAATTGCACATAGTGGAAGACTTGTGAGGGGAATAAGTAAGGGACAGATTTGTCTGTTTTCTGTTTTGTTTTGTTTTTGTTTTTGTTTTAAGATGATATATGTTGCTTTTTATTTTATTTAGTCACCAGAACCAATTCGGATCCTAGACCTAACAGAATGTTCAGCTGTACAATTTGATTATTCACAAGAAAGAGTAAACTGTTTTTGGTAAGTCGTTTTATTAAGAAAACATTTTTTAATGTCTTCTTGCCAGACACTTATTTTGGCTAAGGAATAGAAAGCTGTATATCTCAATGTCTACAAAGTTCAGATCTGAGGGTCATGCCTACATATTAGGAGTGTTTTCAGCTGAGCGTGACGTAACACCTCATTTAAAGTAGCTTAAACAAACAGGCAGGCCAGTTCAGCTTACGTTGTGTACTGGAGAAGTATGACTCACATAGAGGATGGATGCCATTTACATCTTAGACAATTTAATTTCTTTGAGGCTCTCTCCCCCATTTTAATTATAACTTTGTTGACTCTAATGATAGGTGATTTGTATTGTTATGACGATATCTGGCAGATGGCACAAAAATATTTTTTTCTAACATAATCAGTATATTACAAAAATGTTCTAACTGGGAGAATAGTCTTGAGAAAGGCATGTCTTATTTCCCACTATCTTTTATTTTAAAGTTTTCAAGCACACACAAGTTGAAAGACATACGTTTATATACCCTCCATCAGCAGTTATTAATATATCTTGCCATATTTGCTTTATCACAGTCTATCCACTTTTTTTTCCTGAATCAATTGAAAGTAATTTGCAGACCTCATGGCACTTTACCCCTAAAGACTTGAGTATGTGTCTCCTAAGAATAAAACATCACATATAGGACTACAATATCATTATTACACCTGAGGAAATTAATGTTAATTCTATAATATCAACTGAGAATGGGTGTCTTGTTTAAAATTTGCATAGACATGCCCTATGAGCTAGCAGAGCTTTATTTTCCTCATATATCCAAAAATCAGGAGGCAAGCAGCTATGGTGACAAGGTCAGGTTCAGGGTCTCTACAGTTCTCCTGGCCTTTTCTCATGCTGGCTACTTCAGGATTCAAGCGTCTACTACACCTGTAGGTCTCATGTTTTCAACAAAGTACAAAGAAAGATGTAGGGATGGTATCAGCCATGTCTGTCCCTTTTTATCAGGAAAACCAATGTTTCTCCAGAAACTTCCCTCTGAGATTGTCCCTTATATCTCATTGGCCAAGACCAGGTGCCATGGCCATCCCCAGCAGCTGATGATAATTGGCTTAAACAAATTAGGATTTATTGCTTGGGGTTCTGTTAGCAAGGGAAAGGAAAAAGTATCTGTATTAATTGGCAGTTTATAATGTCTCCTATAGGGAGTACCAAACAATGACAATTACAGAAACCAGTTTTCGAGTATATGCACTCTATCACTCCCTCCCCACCACTGTCCACTCACCCTCCACTAGACCTCACATCAAGGTATTACCTTCTATGCACAAGGACTTACCTCTTACCTATTCAATATTAAATGCTGGCATCAACAAAATATACAGCGTAGGCTTTAAGAAACCCTCCTGAAGGCTTTTTTTCAAAAAGAGAAAAGATTTTTAGTATTTTGCATCTCAACTGTAAGTACAGAAGTATGTTCAATGTGTAATTTAGGGCTGACCTTATTATCGCTTGCATAATTTTAACTAGGTAATCAGACACAGTCAAATGAAAAATTACTCTATATCTAGGAAAAGTATTTTGTGCCAGTAGGAAAGTTCGTATCCCTGAAGCAGAGACTGACTCTTGTTCAGAGATGGGAGAAATAACTAATTGAGTTTTGTTGTCTCTTTTTACTGTCTCGATAGTTGAAATTGCCAACAACCACAGAAGGCAGAGTTATCCTCATTGAAGCAAGCTAACACAAATGAGTTCTTTTTAGCAAACTTTCCTGTCTTGCTTATTCTTTGAATCATAGCACAAGGTTTTGAGAGATCTTTGAGAGAACAGCTGAATAAATACATAAGTATTAGAGTTAGCCTAAGACATAAACCACAAAAGGATCTGGGGGTGTCCTGAACATGCTTCTTTCTTCTTCAAAGTCTTATTCGAGTATATACATCTGACTTGGAGTAGTAATATGAATCTACAACTTCCTTAACATTTCTGCAGTTTGCTAGCAGTAATAGGTCCATATATACCAGCTCTTCAAGGTACTTACCTGGATCCTTTATCAATTCATTTTTCCCTTGCAATACTCTAATTAGTGTTCAACATATATATATATATATATATATATATATAGCTAATCAACCTATATATATAGAGAGAGAGAGAGCGAGCTAATCATCTGCAATATCTTATGTTCTTTCTTTTGTCCTATTAGTTTGGTATTTCCATTCAGGACATTTTATCTCTGTGCAAAGACCGGAGTAGAAGCTGATGAGTGGATCAAGATATTACGCTGGAAACTGGTGAGAGTTTTAAGCCTTCAGATGTCGAGTCTTGAGAAATAACATGTTGATTATTTCAAACATATTTCTATCAAAAGAGTCAGACTATCCCCGAGAATCAAAGAGGTGTCTGGGTGCCTACTTCCAGGCTTGCGGAACAGTCTGTTAATTCTTCTGGGACATGAGAAGAGATGAAGACAGGGTTGTAAAAAAGGAAGAATTAAGCTGTATTTGGGACTTAGACATAGAGCCTTAGCCTAATAACCACCTATCAGACTTCCTTTAAGGTGTGTCAGTTAGTTCAGCTTTATCTGGAGGGGGACATTTAGGACCAGAAGGTCTGACAGAGGAAAGCCGACCTATTTCTCTAGTTGAAAAGCCTCTTAAATTGTTAGAGAAGAAAGTTTGCCAGAGAAACTTAGCTTAGTTTCCAGTGTAAGCATCACTTTGTGCAGGTCAAGGACAAAAGCTGGTTTATTTTGTCTGCTCTCTATATATCTCCCGGGGAGAAGACTGAGTGAGTACTTACAAAACTTCACCAATCTTCTACGTGTTTTTCACGTGCTTGCAAGTTAGTGAGTTGTTAGCCAAGAACTTGTCCTTAAAGCTGACTAAAATTTCCTATAAATACCATCTTGAAAGCTTTGATGATTTCTTTTTTTTTTTTTTTTTTTGAGATAGAGTCTCGTTCTGTTGCCCAGGCTGGAGTGCAGTGGTGTGATCTTGGCTCACTACAACTTCTGCCTCTCGGGTTCAAGCGACTTTCGTGCCTCAGCCTCCCTAATAGCTGGGATTATAGAGCCTGCCACCATGCCCGGTTAATTTTTATATTTTTAGCAGAGACGGGGTTTCACCATTTTGGCCAGGCTGGTCTCGAACTCCTGACCTCAAATGATCCATGGCCTCAGCCTCCCAAAGTGCTGGGATTACAGGTGTGAGCCACCATGCCCAGCCAGATGATTTCAAACATAAAACATTTTTCTTAACTAGTTTTTGTAAAATTGTCTCATATGTGAAAATTCCTATCTAGATACTGAGACTTTTGTTTTCAATTATCTTTTCAGTTTGAAATTCAAATAAGTATACCATTCATTTTTAAATTGTTCCAATGTATTTATTACTCAGTGAGGGATAATTTGCCTTGTGAAACTTTTGCTCAGATATGAATTAATTTCTTATTCTTTCTATTTTTAATTATCAAAGTAACACAGAATCATTACACAAGAATTATAGAACAATATATCAAGTATACACACTTTTAGACTTCTCTCTGTACAAATAAATATTTAAAAACAAAATTTAATCACTTGCTAGCAGTAAAAACTACAATGATGTACCACTACACACCCTTCAGAATGGATAAAATGAAGACTGTCAATATCAAGTATTAACATGAATGCAAAGAAACTAGAACTCTCCTACATTGCTAGAGGGAATGAAAATGTGTATGACTACTTTGAAAAATTGCTTGGCAGTTTCTTTTAAAACTATATGTATGCTTACACTATAATTCAGCATTTTCACGCTGAGGTGTATAAGAGAAATGAGTGCATGTATCCACTAAAAAATGTTACGATAATGTTCATAGCATCTTTATTGATAATATACAAACTACAAACAAAACAAATCACTTGCTGGTGTTCTATATCTGCTCACTTCACTTAGCAATATATTGTGAACATTTTTTCATATTAATTTCAGATCTATATTTTTCTTTTGACTCATTGAATACTATTGCATTTTATAGATTACTATAAGTATTAGACCAATTCCCAATTTGTACATGTTTTAGCAATCACTTTACAATATGTGTCCTAAAAAAAATGCAGAAAATTTTTCTGGACACACGATAATTAGCTTATCGTTGGGGGTGGGCACATGATAATTAACTTATAGTTGTATGATATCCTTACTAATCAAATGTCTTATTTAATATTTGTTAGAATCCAGGGTTCATTACAATCACTCAATAATGGATACACGTGTGTGTGCTTTATTACAGTCACAAATAAGAAAACAGCTCAACCGAGGGGAAGGTACGATCCGATCTCGGTCGTTCATCTTTGAATAGATCTTTCTTGCCAAAGACTGCTCTGGCCCAGGAGCAAGGTGGAATGTTCCCTGATGCTGTGATCTGCAGCAGGCTTCAAATGAAAACCAGCTAAGGATTTTCCTTTAAAAACAAATCAGAAGCAGTTGCTGATTGGGACCCATATACCACGTTGCTGATTCACGTTGCTGCCTCTCCATGATGTTGCCATCTCCTTGAGAATGCTGAAGCAATCACCATTCTGATAGAAAGTGCTTAAACCACCACTCTTAGGTCTGCTCACTCGTAGAACACACAATGGAGGAGGAAGGGTTTTTGTTTTCACTCATTGTGGTCTCCAAGCCTATTGACACTAGTTGCCTAGAGTCCCACTCTGAGTCATGGTCAGCCTGTCTGACATCCAGGTTGTGCTATTAACCAGGAAGGAAACAGATACTTAGAAGCTTAGATGACTTCTGCAGGATTTATACTGAGACAGCAAACATCATATATTTTCAGGGAAGAGGTTTATTTTTTTTTTTTTATTTTTTTTAATTTAATTTTCCCTCTTTATACAAAAAAAAAGAGAACATTTCCAAAACTAAAATGGAAAATGCTTGTGGCTTTTATTTTCTCTTTTTAAAAGGTTCAGAAATTTGGTGAGTCCTTTGCTTCTAATGATAAAACTGTGAGAGCTAGATGTCCTATGGGCAATTAGGTAGTGTAATAAAGGTAAATGAAGGTACAATTTTTAAGCCATTATTTTCACCCTTTGGGGGTAAACGTTTTAAAGAGTGAGAAAGCATAAACTGAGGAAGGGTGATAAAGCAGTAGGTAACTTTTAGTTTAATAATGGTTATTGTCATGAGGGTAATCATAATAGACGCTTGTAAGCACTGAGCTATCTTTAACCTTTTCTCCAAATGGACCAAAAGACACTTCTCAAGGACAGTGTATTTTAACAGTTCCTTTCCCAGAATTAGTTGTATAGGGTTGACCCAAGAGATGTAAGAAAAATCTTGCATTGCTCCCTAAGCACCCCGGGCCTTACTAAAGAGCAACTTCTATTTCCAGTTGGGGGAGTAACACTAAAGCTACATGAAATATGTAATAATGATAGGTAATAATATGTTCCAAAGCTTTTTCAAATTAGAATAAGGAGACAAACAGAAGAATGAGATACTGATGTCCACAGTTCATTGGTAGACTCTAACCCCTTCTGTTATCTTTTTTAATACTATTTTTGTTTAGATAGAAGTTTCAAAGAAGATAAAAATGCTTGAAGAGCCTGAGAGTAAAAAGATTATGATGCAAAGTTATGATATAAACTGCTCTTGCAGTCCAAAGGGATACCTGGTTAAAGAAGTTTCTTATTTAAACATCTAAGACTCAGAAATTACATTAAATTTGTGTATATTTCAACACCGTTTTAAATGTATTTTGTTATGTTTGTATTATATGGGATAAAGCAAATGTTGAGTTAAAATGCATTGTGTCATTTGTAAAGTAAGAAGTTACTGGCCGGGCGTGGCGGCTCACGCCTGTAATCCCAGCACTTTGTGAGGCCAAGACAGGCAGACCACTTGAGGACAGGAGTTCGAGACCAGTCTGGCCAACATGATGAAACCTTGTCTTTACTAAAAATACAAAAATTAGCTGGGCATGGTGGCAGGTGCCTGTAATCCCAGATACTCAGGAGGCTGAGGCAGAATTGCTTGAACCTGGGAGGTGGAGGTTGCAGTGAACCAAGATCACGCCACTGCACTCCAGCCTGGGCAACAGAGCCAGACTCCGTCTCAAAAAAAAAAAAAAAAAAAAAAAAAAAAACAAAACCAGAAGTTACAAATGAATCCTCACGGATGTATATGGTTCTATGTTTGTTTTCTTAGAAAGAAATGTGTTTCTTTGTGTGTAATACTGTGTTTTACTATGTTTACCTTTTATAAAACGTAACCTGTTTATTTATATTCTTTGACTCTGTTTATTAAAAAGAGCATGATTTTGCTGTGTATGTACTATTTTGCTATTAAAATATATTTTAATATTTGTAACTTGAAAGAAATATACAAGTGATTAATATCATAAATAGCAATGAAGAATTCACTTCAGTTAGACTATTAACCACAAAGAATTGGAAGTTGAAGAAATAGTCCAAGACCTCAAGGAGTTCTTGGTTGAATATGCACAAAACGAGAAACATATATATATATAGCAGTAAATAAGACAATTACTGTAAGAGAAGTACACAAAGCTATATGATGGAACAGGTGCTTCAGCAGGGGATAAAACAATTTGTTGGAGAGTTTTGACATGAAAAAGATGAGCTAGCATGTATCTGCTATGTAATTAGTACTAGGCTAGGTGTTTTGCCTGCCCTCAGCATTCCTGCAAAGAAATGATTCTAACTCCTAAGTGGAGCCTGTGAGGGTTCCTCAGCTATTTCTCCAAGTCCAAAAAGAGGGAGGATGTTTTGTGCCAATGGCAGATCAGAGCGGGGGAATATGGGAGAAAAGAGAGTGGGATATCTGCATTATGACCTGTCTGCTAACAGGTATGAACTTATTAAGACAGAGTATTAGCAGTTATTCTCCAAATTCCCTCTGGAAAGATCTTGGCCCGCAGGAGGAGTTTTCTCTGGATCAATGGAGACACCAGCATGGTGAGGGAAGGCTAATACAGATGGTCCCTGACTTATCATGATTTGATTTAGGATTGTTCAACTTCACAAAGGGTCTATTGGGGTATTAAATACATTTCCTCCTTTGATATCTTTGACTGAAAAATGACCTTATTGGGATGGAACCGCACCATAAGTCAAGGAGCATCTGTACTATTTCTGGGGGAAACCTTCACCCTATGCCAGAACAGCTGGACATCAGAGAACTCAGTAGGGCAGGACCCTTCTTTTCCCAACCACGTGGCATGCAAGAGAGTGGGTTCCTCTCTCCTTATTTCTCACAAGTGCTTGGCATGCAGGTCAGGGCATTATGCTCTGTCCCTGTTTCAGGCAGAAAGCAAGAGAACTATTATACGGAGAAGGTCAGTTCTACTTCCTTCCTTTTCCACTACTTCAGATCCTCTGCAGCAAATCCATGTTTCTACCAAACTCTTCCTAGTCAAGTATACTACATAGCAGAGTGCCAGGCTGAGCCTACATTCTGCTCACTATGAATTCAGGCTGTCTGACCATAATGTCAAGCAGAGTTTCTTAAACCATCTGCGGCAAAGCATCTGATTTTCTTTCTTTCTTTTTTTTTTTTAATTTATAATCTATCACAGACTGAGATCTCATAAAATTCAATAAATTACTAGAAAAATCAAGCAAAAAATACAAATATCAAAATCCCAGTTTACTATTATCAGATTCAACAGACACAAAGTTACTATGTTAAATTGTTGTAAGTTTTTCAACACTTAAAACAGGCATTTCTGTACTTATCTTGCTAGCAAAGAGTGTGCACAACAGCCCAGTCTGTGGACCACGTTTGAGTAGCATAGGTCTAGCTGACTGGCAGGTAAAAGGAAATAGCCTTCTTGAGAAAGAATTCACCTGAAGACAGAAAGGGTTGAAGTGCACATGTTTTGTTGATGGAATATGGGCATCATTAGAGGGGAAAGGTGATTCAGAGCACATTCTTGACTGTTACTCAGTCCCTCCTCAGCAAAATCTAAAGGAGCTATTTCACCAGAGTCTCCAGTGCACAGACAATGAGATAGTAAGTTGTGTCACATTTTCAGCTGTGAACAAAGATGGCACCCTTGGCCTTAAGCAAGGGTTGTGTGCCCTTGTAGACAACAGCAGCCACAACCTGACTTAGCAGTAGCAACAATGGCCAGGGTTGTGGGGCATAATCATCCCAGAGAGCAAGAACGAAGAAAATAAAATAATGGCAGATGCCATGTGGTTACAGGAGTACATGTGAAAGGCCTATGAGGATTTCCAGAAATATCTGGGAGACATTTGAGAATGACCATATTTTCCACAGAAAAAGCAAGATTGGAGCCAGAGAAGTTAGCCCAGCAGGTCCCTGATCCCATCTTATGATTATTTCCCCTGTTCCAGATGCATCATTGGTATAGCCATCCAGGAATACCTTGAAGATATTGCAGGTTTGGATCCACACCACCACAATAAAGCAAATATTGCAATAAAGTAAGTCCCACCATTTTTTGTTTCCCAATTCATACTAAAGTTATTACTAAAAAAATTATAATGATCATCTGAGCTTTCAGCAAGTTGCAGTCGTTTTGCTGGTGGAGAGTCTTGCCTGGAAGGTGATGGCTGTTCACTGATCAGGTGATGCTTGCTAAGGGTTGGGGTGGCTGCAGCAATTTCTGAAAATAAGACAAAAATGAAGTTTGCCACATCAATTGATTCTTCCTTTCCTGAAAGCTTTCACTGTAGCATAAGATGCTGATTGATAGCATTTTACTAACAGTAGAATTTCTTTCAAAATTGCAGTCATTCCTCTCAAACTCTGCAACTGCTTTATCAACTAAGTTTATGTAACATTCTAAATCTTTTATTGTCGTTTCAACAAGTTCACAGCATCTTCAGCAGAAGTAGATTTCATCTCAAGAAATGACTTTATTTGCTCATCCATAAGAAACAACTCATCATCCATTGAATTTTAATCATGAGATTGCAGCAATTCAGACCCATCTTCAGGCTTCACTCTTAATTCTAGTTCTCTTACTATTTCCGTCACATCTGCTACTTCGTCCAGTAAGTCTTGAACCTCTCATAGTCATTCATAAGGGCTGAAATCAAGTTCTTCTCAACTCCTGCTAATGTTGATATTTTGACCTCCTCCTGTAATCACAAATATTCTTATCTTTGTTTGTTCTTTGGGTTCTGGGTGTTTTTTTTTTTTTTTTTTTTTTTTGGTTGGCAGGCTGTTTATTACTGACTCAATTCCAGAGCTCATTATTAGTTTGTTTGAGATGAGGTCTCACTCTGTGACTCAGGCGGGAGTGTAGTGGTGTGATCTCAGCTCACTGCAATCTCCGCCTCCTGGGTTCAAGTGATTCTCCTGGCTCAGCCTCCCAAGTAGCTGGGACTACAAGTGTGCACCACCACACCCTGCTAATTTTTGTATTTTCGGTAAAGACAGGATTTCACCATGTTGGCCAGGCTGGTCTTGAAGTCCTGACCTCCTCTTGGGAGGCCTTGGCCTCCCAAAGTGTTGGAATTACAGGCGTAAGTCACTGTACCTGGCCACAGATATTCTTAATGGCATTTAGAAGGGTGAATCCTCTGGGAAGGTTTTCAGTTCACTTTGCCTGGATACATCAAAGGAATCACTATCTATGGCAGTGATAGCCTTATGAAATGTATTCCTTAAATAATAAGATTTGAAAGTTGAAAGTCAAAATTACTCCTGTCTATGGGCTGCAGAATGGATCCTGTTACCAGGTATGAAAACAACATTAATCTTATTGTACATATCGGAACTCTTGTGTGACCAGGTGCGTTTTCAATGAGCAGTAATATTTTGAAAGAATTCTTGTTTCTGAGCAGTAAATCTCAACAGTCGGTTTGAAATATCCAGTAAACCATCCTGAGAACAGATGTACTATTATCAGGCTTTGTCTCATTTATAGAGCAGGGGCAGGGTAGATTTAGCATAACTCTTAAGAGCCCTAGGATTTTCAAAATGGTAAGCACTGGTTTCAGGTTAAACACCAGCTGTATTAACCCCTAACAAGGGAGTCAGCCTATCCTTTGAAGCTCTGAAGGCAGGCATCGACTTCTCTTTAGCTGTGAAAGTGCTAGAAAGGAGAAGTCAATGACTGGCTTCAAAGCTTTGAAGGACGGCCTCTTCTTCCAATAGAAGACTATTCTGCTACATTGAAAATGTGGTGTTCATCAATGATCTTGGCTAGATCCTTTGCATACCTTGCTGCAGCATCTACATCATCACTTGCTGTTTCACCTTGCAGTTTTGTTATGGAGATGGTTTCTTTCCTTAAATCTCATGAACCAACATCTGCTAGCTTTGAACTTTTCTTCTGCAGCTTCCTTACCTCTCTCAGCCTTCATAGAATTGAAAGGAGTTAGAGCTTTGCTCTGGATTAGGATTTAAGGAAATATTGTGGCTAGTTTGATCTTCAGTCCCGACCACTCACACTCAAACTTTCTCCATCTCAGCAATAACGCTGTCTTGCTTCATATTCATGTGTTGATTAGAGTAGCACTTTTCATTTTCTTCAAAAACGTTTTCTTTGCATTCACAATTTTTTGGCACAAGAGGCCTAGTTTCTGGTCTGTCTCAGTTTTCAACACGCCTTTTTCACTAAGCTTAATCATTTCTAGCTTTTGATTCAAAATGAAAGATGTGAGACTTTTCCTTTCATGTGAACACTTAGAGACCATTTTAGGATTATTAATTGGCCTAATTTAAATACTGTTGTGTCTCAGGGAAGGGGGTGCCCAAGGGGAGGGAGAGAGATGGAGGAACAGCAAGTCAGTGAAGCAGCCAGAACACACACATTTATTAAGTTTGTTGCCTTATATGAGTGTGGTTTATTGCACCCCAAAATATTACAATAGTAACATCAAAGATCGCTGATTACAAAGCACCATAACAGATATAATAATCATCAAACCAGTTTGAAATATTGCAAGAATTACCAAACTGTAACACAGAGACACAAAGTGAATATATCCTGTTGAACAAATGGTGCTAATAGACTTGCTCAACTCAGGGTTGCCATAAACCTTTAATTTGTAACAAAGACATCTACAAAGCACAGTAAAGCAAAGAGCAATAAAACAAGGTATGCCTGGGTTGATGAACTTAGCTATTCAAGACAGCTAAGCACAGCCTCAGACAATAAAGTATCCTTTATGTGATGAAACCAGAGCAACTGACAAGTCCAGCCTGGTTTGTTTAAATCAGATACTGAAGTTGGCCTTTATTAACAACAACAACAACAAAAACTTAGGGGCAAACCATGATCCAAAAAGGTCTTAAACAAGAGCAAACTGCATGATCAAAAAACTTACAATTTTTTTTCCTTCTCTACACAAAGATACCATCTGCAACAATTTCATC